AAATCATAACGGTAGGGCGATAACCTTAATTCACCTATACCTGTAGGGCAGAACATCGTGTTTGTTTACAACTACTTATGATATGGCGGGACGCAACTTATCAATGATATTCATGTCACTTTCACACGTCAACCAAGTTTATGACTCATGTTTGTAACCTTTCACTGGTCTCGCTATCTACCAAGAAATCCTATCACAAGCTGATCTACTGAATTATTTTTGGAAAGAGCTTACTCGTAACCTCTTGAGCAACATTGTTTCAAAAAACAATAAAATAAAGATCACCAGATCATCAATTCATTGTTCCTTCATTTTTATTTTTGTAAATCGACATAATTTATAACATTCTAGCTCTTTTGAACCTCTTCTATTGATAAGATTATTTACACATTCGTTATCTTACCAGTAGATGCCCTAATTATTCTATTTAAATGCGAGGTCTGCAGTGTTCTAGTACGGAAAAGAAAAGGTCTGAGTAATCATCCCTTTGTTTTACCCAAAACTGTATCTCCTCAGTCATGACTCAGCCTTAAACAAGAATGTTTTCCGCTCTTATTCTCGCGCCTTTCTCTTCATTTCTCATTCTCAGCCGCTCATTCTACAACCTAAATATTAGCATTGATAATTACAGATGAGTTGGTGTCTTTACCCAGGAACCTGACAACTTATTATACAGTGCTCCTTAACAAGAAGATCATCACACATTTACCTCATCACTGCTTTTTATTTGCAGAACTGCACTTACCTAACATTGATTATCAAACATCAGAGGTTCGTCGCGACGCAACTGTTATAACTCACGCCAGCTGTCGTATTGTACATTGCAGAGTCCGAAACAGTATTCACAATTATATGGAAAACATATTAGCGCCTTTTGAGAATCCAATGTATCTTGTGAGATATTTATCTAACTGAACATACTTTTACGAAAAATATCTTAGCAATGTTAACATTTTGATATTGCCTGTAACTTGGCATACCATGTTCTTTGACAATATATTATTATTATCGGGTGCACAGCTGTATATAAGGAGAATTGACGAGGGAAATGTAAACTGACGTCAACTTCTAAGAGTATGGATTATAGGGTATCTATGAAATTACTTCTTCCGTACTTGCAACCTTAATATCAAGATTAAACAATTAGTGTCTCATTCTGCAGTTCAGATATGTATCATCTATGCACCAAATCACTATGCGTTCACTGTCACATTTTATGGATCTACATAATATTTAAACTTTCAATTCTCTTGCGTCCTTTCTATTGATGGTCTCACCAGTGACTCGTTTTCACTAAACTAAATAAATGTAATTGTGCAACAGGTGACCTAGTGCGAAAAAACTTCAAACTAATCATATCATAATTCCTTAAACACAGATGCGTCTGTTGAATCGTAAATCAATCCTAGTCAGTGTTATTTTTTGTTCTGCATTTTTTCCTTTTCCATCCCTGTCGTGATACCTGACGAAAGAACAGTTGGGAAACACATCTTCGTTCTAAATATGAAATAAGAGCCTCGAGATTTCCGGAGAGTTACAGTTGATTTCGCTAGAAATCTGTCAGGTTATTTTCTGCACAACGCCTCCAAGAACATGAAATCCTCCGTATGGGGTTTGAATGTCAGATATCGGTGATGGGTGGATTATTAAGAGTTACTGGTCTACTTTAAGATAGTTCTTGGCGTGGTTTCGTGAAACATCTTACAATATTTCTGTTAAAGCGCATAATTACATATCTAATTTCATCAGTTAGGACATGTCAGTGCTACACGGGTATTGGTGACGGTTCGAGTGTTGAGAATGATATAGCCATTAGGAGAGTAATGCGAGTCAGTGTTTTTTGAGGAAAAAGAGATGATCTGAGTGATCTCAAAGAGATGGAAATAGCCCCGCCGTTGCTCGGGAGAACGGACGTGACCGCTTCCAGTAGCAGACTATCTAAATGACGGAGAAAACTAAACTATTTAGCACGAATCCACGTAGTTGTTTAACTGCGGAGAGCGAGAAACTTGAAACCTTGGAGGACATTATAAAATCATGCGATTTCCGTGCAAAAATAGAGTATTCAGTAAGTTCTAGACGGTTGAGTATGTGATGGTAGAGCAACTGATCAATTGAACCATGTTGTACTCCGTACGTTGTGGAAAGTAATTATTTAGTGTTAAACTTGCTTGATTCCTTAATCTCACTTTGCTGTTCGTTATCTCTTTCTAACAAACTGGGCTTCTTGGTATCGCTAACAAGCAAGTCATCTTCGGTCTGAGCACCCACTGTTCTTACAAGTCGGTCTTCGCTAACATGAAAAATACTTATGATATTGAGTTGCAGTGTCTTCGAGGTTGACCTTTCGACAGTGAATGCTGTCTGAATTCGAAAACTTTCGACACTGTATGGACCATAGATCATGCATTTCATGAATAGTTATATATTCTTCAAGCCATCTTTTTCAGAGTTCCTCGGAAAGGTGTCGCACTTGAGTCCCACTTCTAATGAGATATTCTTATTGAGAGATTTCTTCTCGGAATCCTTCACCACTACTAAGTAAAAGTAATTCATTGAGTCCTAATACTTGTTAGCATTGAGCATCGTCCGTCACTGGTTGTAAAGGCCAGCCTTTCAGAATTTCACCACCTTCACTTAAGATTATTTATGATGGTTCGCCTGTCAAAACCTGTCACCTAATTATTACATCATGCTCATTTAACATAACTGGTTATTAAATGACCTATAGTCTCTTGATACCTCTTGGTCAACTGCGAACAAACCTGAAACATGGTGCTCAGCTATCGCAGACGTGTTACCAAGACATCTGTGATATACGGTGGTCTTTCCTCTTCGATCTTCCGGAAACACCTATGGAAAAGCGACTGTCCGCTCAGAAGATTGCTAAACATTCTTGATGGCCCTTTTTCTTGACACTTGTAACCAAGCCATTTAAAAACTACGTTTCTCACTGCATTCTGATAGTGTTTAAATAATCTTTATTTTTAAGTTTTTGTTCTGTCATTCTGCGTACTTCTAGAAGATTGCATGGCTTCATTTCCCTGTCCGAAAGCTCGGGAATAGGCAGATCGGACAGATGGCTCATTTTCAGTAGCAACCTCTATTCTGGTTTCGGTGCATCTCCTAAGCGTAAGTGAGGAGTCGCAGAAGCAGCTGTAACTTGGACCGTAGCATCAATGTATAGCGAGCCTAAACCAAAACATTTCTGTCTAATTTACTGTATTGACGGATTGATTGCTATTCTCAGTATCTCAGCTACTTTGGCGCTAATCGCTGTCACATCAGAGCCACTGTCCATCAAAATATACGCTTCTCTGGAGGAATACGGTTCATATGCCCTAAATGAAATGACAGATTTTATCCACTATTCTCGCTGGTATGATCGTTATCTAATTATTTACCAAACCTTTGTCTGCTTCACTGCACACAGTCACGCATGGTTAAAGTTTGTATCCAATTGTCTTACCGTTCCTGTTTCCTTTATTCAGTACCATGTTTTCAACAAAAAGTAACAGAGATTCTTTGTGCGCCTAGAATACAAATCTGACTTATTTGTTCCAGGTTCAAGTTCCATAGAAAGCGCCTGATACTCCTTACTTAACAGCAACTAGAAACTTATCACAAAGTGTTTGTACAACGGGACTGTTTAATTAATCCACACTAACATTACGCAGTAAGTTTTTCCTAGTTCACTGATGTCATTTTCGACAACTGTGATGGACTAGCACCATATGTACAAACTTATGCTGCATAATATCACGTCCATGAGAATGGCACGTAACTGCTTTGTCATAAATATACGCTGTTATTACTGCCCAGAAATAGATCGAATTTCTTGTAAGTTTCACCTCTTAATATCGGTACAAGTGTAGTTCGATAAGCGATTACGATTTCATTTTTCTTCCAGAACGGTTGTAATAGATCGATAGCCGAAGACGTATACGATGGGCGGAACTTTACAGTATGAATTTTTGTTATTATGTACCAGGTAACTGTTTAGAATAACAAAAGAGGGCCAGGTCCTGCTGACGAAGCAGGCTGTCAGAAGAGTGTTTAACAACGTCATACACAGGTTTTGGTCAGTCTAGGCCTTAGGGTCATCATAACGCATTAGGCAGTTAACTATAGCAGTAAGTAGTTTTCTGAAACAGTTTTTGAGGTCTAACATGTTGATACTGACATCACCAGTTTTACTGGGCACGCCATATCCGAAGGCGATTGGTCAGGCGTACACACTAGGTCAATATCGTGCCATCGGTGCGTGTGCAAATAATCAACCCATGTTGATCATCCTATCGAACATTCAGTGATCTGTCTAACGTAAAACTGGTTAACCTTGATAGACGATTAAGCTGGGGTTCAGAGGTAGTTCAGTAGCCTCATAGTAGTGACTGCTAACAAAATGGCCGATGACGATTATCAATTCTTGGGCGATAAGCACTGGGCATTCAGCATTCTGATGCACTAGTCACACATCTAGTACACTATTGTAACTTAGAGTATTAAATACTCTTACTCTCATCAGTCTATCAATACAAAACAATACTCTAGGGACTACTGTAAGCGTATTCTTCCTTGAATTCAGTTGAACCAAAAATAACAAGGGAGAAAAATCCGTAATCAATCAAGCTTACACCAGTCACCTCTTGTCAGCAGCGTAACATTACAAAAATTACTATTGAACTATGCTTAGTCCATCTGTTCTTGACATGGACAATCATTTCTAGGGTTTCCAAAGTGATATTAACAAGGATCTTGGCAAAAATTATCGTCAGTTTCACAATGAGTGCACAGAATGAAATTCTTATCTTAAAGCTACTCTTACAATAAATGAGTAAATCCCATAAATGGTCTAACACATCAGAAACAGGTACAGTGAAACGAAGTTGATTATTATTTAGTGTCATTTAAATTTTTTCAAAATAGTCATCATTTATCAATACTTAAGAGAAATATGCTATTCCACAGATTTGTTTGTACATTCTTAAAACGATTGCAATAAGAACATTGAAGGTTGAAGGAGGCTTCTTTAACTTTGTTGTCAACCTCCAGCGTGCTAGGATATAACCTGAGTCGATCATGGTTGGTAGTCCTATCTTTTCATGTTTAGTGCTCACGTTCTGAATAATTCTCGCGACTTTTGCGTTGATGAGTTTCAACCATCTGTTCCATTTTTCACGTATTAAACTTTCCTGAAATACTAGGTTGGTGTATATCATGGGACCAGTAAAAGTTTACTAAGTGGAACGCGGGTTGCAGTATCAGATTCTCCAGTTTAAAGCTGATGGGCAAATTGAGTTTGCGTGGGATCTTTTCTACTGCAGAATTAGATGTTTTCATGACATCTCCGTACAAGCTGGAAAATCTGACTATTGGAGTATTGATATGTTCCATGACGCTCGTTTCTTTCTATTACTTGAGTTCATCTGATAAAGTAGATGGCGTCATTATGTTTCTTCCCGTAAGATTTGAAAGTCTGAGTCATTCGAATCAACAGTAAGCTACGGAATATCTTAACTCAATGTTAGCCAAATGTGCATCACATATACTAGCTAGCATAATGATGCTTCAGGTGGTCTAGAACTTTTGAAATCAGCGAATTACCTTGTTTTACTTTAGGAGGACATCCAGCTTATTATTTACAGTTTGAATTCGAAAAGGTTAAACGTAGAGTGCATTGCTTCGACTGCTTAGGTTTGATAGTTTGCAAATGCTTTCAATAAGTGGTTGTAAAAGTGGCTGGTTCCACGAGGTAGATGCTCTACATCCACCATATGTTAGAAGCACAGGGAAATCTTTATCAGCTCATCATTCTTTGTAATCCGTGCTAAAATGTATCATTTCTTAACTGCAAAGCTAGGAGGGTACGTTGGCTGATGTCTAGTGTATCATGAGTCGTTCTTTCAGGGCCTTCTGGCGGCAGATTACAGAAGCTAGTGGCTAATTTCAGGAAATGTTATCTCACAGATCTGTGGTTTTTGATTATTGTAACCTACCGCTAAGTTCTGACGCAGTTAACAGGTCAAGAGAATGTGCTAGATCCAAGATCATTTGTTTATGCTAGTTGTGTTATCACCGTTGTATGGTTTAAGGCTTCTGGATTTTTGTATCATTGTTCGTTATGCTGCAATTTGCATATCATTAACTTTTGAAATCACAGTGTAAGATTATCAAGATTATAATGAAAGCCTGAATATTTTCTGGTAACTTTTTAAGTGATAAGATTAGCTTAGATGAGATTGACATTTTTGATTCCAAATTTGATAAAGACAGTAGCAGTATTATCGATAATACAAAGGGCAATGGATCGAAGGTACAATTCGGTGAGACAAATTTAAATAGGAATAACCCATTATGACTTGGAGGTAGACAAAATTGATGCAGCTGCGTCATCTTGAACGATCTTGAGCTCAATTATGCATCCTACATTAAATGTTAGAGCTTCAATAGGCGTACCACTGTTTTTGGGAATGCTTCTCGTCATTAAGCTTTTTTGTCATACAAATGGGGTTCTGCATGCTCAAAGGTAGACTAGCAATCCTTTCAAAGTTGCAGTTCACACTATCGAAGTTCATTGTCATCTCATGCAAAGTCTAATAACAATAAATCGAGTTGTATGAAGAGCATTTTTAGTCGGGCTGCTACGTTTAATGTGACTTGCATATTGAATTCTAAGTCTATCACTTGCTTTTCATTTCTGCGTGTCGCGATGTTTTAGCAGGTTTTTATTTACTGACGGTCAAGGGTATCTTATTGCTTGATCTCCATTCTAATTAGCTGTCATTACAACCAATCTCAATTCTAAGTGCTGGTGCTGATGAAGAAAAGGCAGAAACCGCCCGACTTGTAAGTTCCACCTAAGGGTTTTTATTTCAGTCTTCTTTTGTGGGAGCCATTGCCATCGGTGATCTTGTCAAGACTACTTTGGGTCCTAAAGGAATGGACAAAATCCTCCTCTCGTCCGGTGAAACTGTTGAGGTGACAAATGATGGGGCTACAATATTAAAGTCAATTGGCGTGGATAATCCCGCAGCTAAGATCCTTGTTGGTATGTTTATTCCCAACTCCTTTTAATATCTATGCTTTTTAGAAATGAGCAAAGTTCAAGATGATGAGGTTGGCGATGGTACGACTTCAGTAACTGTGCTAGCGGCAGAATTGTTGCGTGTAAGTTTTCCAACTTGTAACATGTAATCTCCAGTAAATACTACTAAAAAAATCATTGGCCTTGGTTTCATCCACCATCTGTATATCAAGTTAAGCGGCCTTAACGTGATAAACTATTTAACTAACCTTAAGAGCAGCAGTGCGTGAATCTACCTATGATTAAATGGCCTTCAGCAAAGAGAAGAAAACTATACGCTGGCAATCAAGAGAGAGAGATGAACCGATTTAGACAATCTAAATCCATATATATATATATATATATATATATATACTCAACTAGACCACAACGCACAAAGAATTAAGAGGATTCGATTATGTCCAAACTAGACATATGGGGTGGAAAAATAGTGCTGAGGGTTATGTTTATCTCATCATAACTTTGCAATAGAACAATAAATCATTTATCAAACGAAAGCATAAGATTTATAGATTGCTGCACATTTGTTTTCCCTTTCTTAAATCTTATCCAGATTATCATCAGTGATCCATTCCTTTTAATAGTGCTCCTTGTAACCAAAGGCCTCGACGTGTTGAAGTTATTGCTTCATTGATCTCTTTCCAGTTTTCTATACAAAAATTTCCTCTTCATTGAGTAGATCCTGAAAGGCCTGGAACTTGTTGCTGAGAGCTCTCTTTAATTCGTTGAGTTTGCCAGTAAACGAAAGAAAGACATTTTTAGTGGCTGCGTTAAATTTAAAGTCGGGTTCACCACTTTAGCGACCCGCGATTGAACTTCATATACGATGAATGATCGAGTATGCAATGAAATAAATCTTGCTTTCAGTTTCTGCGTATCATACTTCTTCGAACTCCATTTGTGCGACGGCGGTAATTAGAAGCTAAATACGGTTTTGCCGATCGATTTATTTCATTTGGGCAGCTAAACATGAGAATAAAAGCGCACAAGCAAAGCAAAGTGGAGTAAGCGAGTAAACCAACCCAATGTCCTTCGGTATGAATAACTATTTATAGTCATCCGAAATAGGCTAGGTATGTAGTAAGCGAAGTAAGCATGCACAGAGACGTGGTTTAAAACAACCAGTACACCCGCCGTTTGGTTGTTAAGTGTACATCCTACTTCACACTTTGACGAGATTCAAATGAGATTTTTGAATCTGTACCAAAATATTGTAAGTTATCAACCCAACAGGGGTGACGAGACTTCCAAAATAAGTGAAATGGTCAGCTATATGTCGGTGCTTTACCACTCCCTCTATGACCATGAAATCGACTTATTGGTAACATCAGGTGCGACTGAACACCAGTCACTACTGAAGCCTTATTTTGTGTTTTGGATTGATAACAGGATCTGTGAAAAATTATTTCCGTAATATAATCTTTAGAAAATGAGTATTCTCTTAACGATTTTCACCTTCCGAGGTTCGTCTTCATTGTATAAATGCTTATTCATTTAATGTAAAATGTTTGGCATTTATAGTGGATAATATTAAAGATTTGGAACGTGATTGCTTGCGCATCTCAGGCTGCTCTGCTTTGATGCTTAAACCTGACACTCATCACTTTAAACACCAGCATTACATTAAAAAGCACAGTTTTTATATTCATTCGTTCAAAAGTGCAGATTTTTACGGTCCGATTTCCCGTTTTCGGAACAAGGTGGGCATTAGAACATACTAGCATAGCAGATAACTGTGCAAACTAAACAATAAATGCTAAACTTGAAAAATTGGAGACACCAATATATATCTCAATGTAGATACGTCTAGTTTGAAAAATTTCAGTAGATATCAATACAACAATCTTCTTAACTCATGCTTGCACTTTATATACAGAGTCTTTAACATGTGTTGATAAGATTAGTGTAAGGCATAAATTTGTACTTTATGATTTTTGCTACTAATCTCAATTCTTAATTTCTCTTGTTATTTAGGAAGGTGAACAATTAATTGCTGCTAAGCTTCATCCCCAAACTATTGTACAAGGTTGGCGTGAGGCTACTAAACTAGCCTTAACAGCTCTCGACTCCGCTGCATATCAATCATCAGATCAATCGGATACTGAATTCCGTGACCGTCTGTTAAGTATTGCGCGCACAACTTTGAGTTCTAAGCTCCTGACACAGCATAAAGAACATTTTGCTAAGTTAGCTGTAGATGCTGTTCTTCGGCTGAAAGGTAGTGGGAATCTTGATGCTATCCAAGTAAGTAGCTAAGAAAAACTTATGTTTAACAAATGCCACTCATTTATGAGACTAACCAAACTATTTGATTTACAGATTATCCAGAAGCTTGGTGGCACTATGACTGACTCGTATTTGGATGAAGGCTTTCTTCTGGATAAACGACCTGGTGTAAATCAGCCTAAAAGAGTGGAAAACGCCAAAATATTGATCGCCAACACCCCAATGGATGCAGATAAAATCAAAGTATTTGGAAGCAAAATCCAAGTGGATGCTATTTCAAAGGTAGCTGAATTAGAATTAGCTGAAAAACAAAAAATGAAAGACAAAGTTGACAAAATTTTAAAGCACAACTGTTCAGTATTCATTAATAGGTAACTTGAAATTTCCAAATCTTGTATTTTCGTATGCCAGAATGTTGTTTCCACCACTAGTTTATATTAACTAACTCAGGCCATAAATGCTTTGCTAAGACATTTTTAAAGTTTCACTAATCTTATTCCTTTTAAATATTCTAGATTAGTGATAGTACGAACTGTCAATTAATCTATGTGGTTGATATAGTCTACATAAGTTCAAGAAACAGTGGAATCATGTTTCAGAAATTAATTATTTTGGCTTTTAGAATTCCACTTAGTGCACGAAAGCAGGGTAATAAAAGATGTTAAAAATCCGTATTATCATTTTCTGTTAATGTCCAGTTCTCGTAAAATAATGAATCCATATGAAGATATTCCATTTCATCCTCGTAAAATCTATATTTCAATCGGTCACATAACAAGGTTACACTTACTTATATGATGAACGCATACAATTTACATTAATTCTTCTCTATAGCTACGATTTTATGGTTACTGTTAGTTTTAAACATTCTTGTTCATTCGATCCTTACCCTTCTCAGTATGCTTTTTACATATATATACTGAAAAATGTCAACTTACAACCTTATTTTCAGGCAATTAATATATAATTATCCGGAGCAGTTATTTGCTGATGCTGGTGTTATGGCAATCGAACATGCAGATTTTGAAGGTGTAGAGAGGTTGGCTCTAGTTACTGGTGGCGAGATTGTTTCCACATTCGATTCTCCTGAGACTACAAAATTAGGACACTGTAATTTGATAGAAGAAGTAAGTAACATTATACCCGTTCTCCTTTTCGAACCTCTAACACAACTATCTAATCACATTAAGCATGTGAGTCATCTCAAAGTTTCCTCCATTTTAATTTAGCGGTGGATAGATGTAATATCCCGTTATGGTCTCAAAATTAGGAAATAGCTGCATAATATTTTTCTGTACGCTTGACTCATTTTCAGCTTTTTGTATGCGATAAAAAATCTTGATTGTATGACGACATAGTGTATATGATGCTTTGCGATCGTTCGTCCAGATGTATATACCTTCAAACTAGGCATATATTTAGTACACTTCGGGGTCTTGATTTTGTGTTATGTAATTGTCTAGATGCCTTTGACTTTTTTCGCCTTCCATATGAGCGAACTTACGCCATCTCAACGGAAAAATTGTATAGACTAAATACATATTATTGAATCTATCATACTAAGATGTACTAAAAGTTGAATTAAAGTCAACTTATTTCAGATTAAAGGGATCCAGAAAGTATGAATGCAACTGGTGGCGTAAATGGTCGTCAATCTACGTTCATTGAGGGTCAATTTTAGGTACCTTTGGTGCCACCGTAATGTTAGTGTGGCTGTAAAACGTCTGGTGCCCAGTTCGTTGATGAAAGCGGTTTTAATCTATATTAATCAGACCTGACTTCCGAGTTCAGGATGCACGGTGACCCTGTGTTCGATCAGTCTCTGAAGGATTACTGACATCCAATTTCAAACTCGCGTTTGTAATGCTGATCGCAGCGTATGTTCGAACTCAGTGGCCATGATCCAATTAGCGTTAATACCGTGAAGTACCTGCTTCGCTGGGTTGAACACGTTTTAGGAATATCATGTCGGCCAATTCTGTATCGTGGATTATTTTCTGATTCTGCGACTCTAGGAGAAGCGTAAAGGTGGTCAGTTTATTACATGTTTTCTTGGTACCAATTAAAACTAGAACTGGTATATTTCTGTCCATCATTACTTTCTACTCGTGTTTTGGGGGCGGTGCAGCTCATCTGCTTGAGATATTATCAAGCATAGCTCCTCATAGAAACTAATTTCAACCCTGCTGCGGCCCTCCTACAATCTATAAAAAAATTTAAAGGAACTCCTGTAACTAAAGAAATTCTTTCTGCTTGTATTTCATTTGTATGAACTATTTCTCCCATTATATACGGCTTTTGCTCATTTATATTCATATATTGGTCTCTGACTATTCACCTTCCTACCTCTATCTCTGCATTTTCCCCCTGTAGCGCATATTTATTTTGATGTCTATTTGTACTGGCATTAATATATCAAATGAATAAAATAAAGTATATCGATTTCAGGCGTCATTTCGTATATATCGTGCCAGACAATATTATTCATCTGAGGAATGCTTTCATAGTTAGATATTCGGGCATATGACATAGTACATGGCAACTATCCTAAACCACAGTTTCACATATTTTAAGTACAGGACCAACTCAGAAACTGGGACGCTAGTTTAGTAGAAAATGTTTAATTATGGTTTATGTGCTTGCAAAGATTTGTATCACTATCGATTTTCCCAGTCATTTTTACTTAATAGCTGTTTAGTGCCAAAGCCTTCCTAAAAATATTTTACAGGTGCATTTTAATATTCACTTACAATTGTTCATTATTTCTACAGGTGACAATTGGTGAAGATAAGTTACTTCGATTCAGCGGTGTTGCTATGGGTGAGGCTTGCACAATAGTCTTGAGGGGTGCCACTAAAAGCATCTTGGCAGAGGCAGAACGCTCTCTTCACGACGCTTTGTGTGTTTTGGCTCTTACAATAAAGAATCCTCGAACAGTTTGTGGTGGTGGAGCTATGGAGATGTGGATGGCTGAAGCAGTAGCACAGGGTGCTGCTAAAACGCCAGGAAAGATATCTTTGGCTATGGAGTCCTTCGGTCGTGCTTTGAGGCGTTTACCTTCTATAATAGCCGATAATGGTGGTTATGATAGTGCAGAGCTGGTTTCTCAGTTACGTGCTTGTCATGCAAATGGTGAAAAGTCCATGGGCTTAGGTAAGGACTGTAAAGATCGTCTTGCTTTTATGTACGAAGTGTATTAAATTACCATCTCAATTAAGATTTTTGAATCACACTACAGTTAACTTTATTTGCAAGTACTTGTAAAGTTATTTTTTTACTCCAAATATTCGTTTCTAGATATGAACAACGGAGTAATTGCTGATATGAACGATTTTGGCATTATTGAATCATATGACGTAAAGCGTCATTTAGTGACATCAGCTGCCGAAGCTGCGGAGATGATAATCCGTGTTGATGACATCATTAAAGCTGCTCCTCGTCGCCGAGCTCCTCGAAGGCATTAAATAAAATTAGCTTGGTCATTGTTTGTGAAGTTAACAATAAATTTATCGTTTGGCATTATGAAATATAAGTTGCTCGTATATTGGGTTTTCTTTCTTTCATTCCCAAAAGTCACTGTTATTAAATTCCGTTCCTGGATTTTTTAAAGTGTTCGTTGTTCATTTCGTCTGACAAGTGCATACATAGACTGATTTAATTGTCTAGTATGTCTTAGGAATGACGGATTTAAGATCAGTTCTGTACTTTAATGTTATGTATGCAAGTATGGTATTTAAGGTGAGAACTGATGAAATTCTAAACCTTATTCATTTACTGAATATCCAGATACTTAAAATCTTATGAATGAATACCCAGTGTTCTGACGCAGTCATTTCTACTCCGTTTCATAACGTGATTACACTACTTTTGCTCAAACAATTTTTCAAAGTGGTTCATTTTAAGTTACACTTTCAATAGAATTGGAAACATTAAATTTTACAAATGAGGATACAGTGGTTACTTTTTAACAGTGGTCAACCCACTGCACTCATATTAAAAATATATAAAAGGTACTTGATTGTCAGCTTGATGTTTTGTGTAGAGCTCACAAAGGACAATGGCAGCTTAATTCGAATTCCATCGCGTTACAGTTATAATGAGAAAATATATACGAAAAAATTTACAAATACTGTGTAGTTTTTATCTTACATGTCGAATCGTTTACCATATATTGCCAGTTATTACGTGGTTTCGTCTGTCGTTCTAATACGTATATTCACAGATCGGTCTTTAGGAAATAACCACGATCTTTAATTCAGTACCAATCTGCACCTATCATTTTAGATATTCAGATCATGCTCTAGTACGAACGCGGATTTGTCTAAAGCTAACTGCACGTAAAAAAGACAACCAGGAAACCACTTAGGGTTCTACTTACCGATAACAAAGCCAACAGTATATCTCGGGAATAACTAAAAAAACGGGCAGTCATGTATCTAAACAGCAGTGATATTTGTCATAAGCCAAACCGCAATGTTAGGGAGAAGCAGTGGATTTAAGTAGCAGCTGTCGAGTTAATAGATTCTCAGAAAGTCATACCGTCTCGCTCTCAACATGATGAGCGGAGTCAGCTCAAGTGCAGGCTGATACGAAGACTTCGTAATGATTGCGAACAGTGGTGGTTAGGGAAAGCAAGAGAGACTGAAAAGATAGTGACAGTAGGCAACTATTCAGACTTATTAAGGAAACCTGTATTAAAAATCCGACTGAGTGAGACTGTCTCATGAAAAGATGGGCTTATTAATCAATGTCAGCCCAGGAGATTGCACTTATGGTCAGAACACTTCAGTGATCAGTTCAACTGGCCTTTAGCCACACTTTGGTTACCCACGATCTCCAGTCAACCTGAATGGCAAGTCTACGTGAACCCTCCGAATCTTTATGAAGTTGAAAAGCTATGGGGAATCTGAGGCGCGGGAGAGCAGCAGGATCTGATAGGCTTACCCTTGAGATTTTTAAGGATGTTGGTCCAGTTTTAGCAGCTAGATTGACTGAGATCTCGGCTAGAATCTGGCAACTGGGCGTAATACCATTTGACTGATCTCAATCACTGAAGGACAAAAGTTCTCTTGTGACAGTCAGATAGGAATGAGTCTAACTAATGTAGTATCGAAAATATTGGCTTCAATAATACTCCGACGGTTAACGAAAGCTTGTGAAGAGCGGACTAGAGAAAACCAGGCTGATTTCAGACCCGGACGTGTCTGTATAGACCACATATTCACACTACGTCAGATCGTAGAACAAAAGCACACGTTCAGACGCCCCAGAATAGTAGTATTTCCCTCTGTTGATCGTGAAGTTCTGTCATTAAAAGAAGTACATTAAACTTATACAATCTTCCTACTTGAACACCACTAGTCGAGTAAGAGTTTATGGCGAACTGTCATCGGGATTAGTTACTTCAAGTGGTGTCCGTCAGGGATGTCCACTCTCCCCTTTCTTGTTTAACGTTGTCGTAGACATGCTTCTAGAGTTAACTTTATCATCGTCCGACTCTTCAGGAGTGAACCTTTTACCAGGAGACACGCTTGCTGACCTAGAATATGCTGATGACTTAGTCCTATTCGGTGAAGACGCTGACAAAATGCAGTCTTCTGACTACCCTACGCAACAACGCAAGCATGTTTGGGATGCGGTTCTCCCCCTCGAAATGCAAAATGTTGCTTCAAGACTGGGTTGCATCGGCACCTGCACTAGTGATAGGGAGTGAAGTAGTTGAGCGTGTTGACCGCTCCATTTACCTTGGGAGTCTCATCAGTGCTGATGCCCTGGTGACTGACGAAATCTCAGCACGGATACAGAAAACTCGATTTGCTTTTGCCAACCCGCGTCACTTATGGCGAAGGCGAGATATCCGTTTGCTGACTAAAGGACGAGTGTACTGCGCAGTAGTTCGCTCCGTCCTACTTTATGTCTCTGAAACATGGTCATTGAGGGTAGAAGATATTCGTAGGTTGTTTGTCTCCGACGTATTGTTATTGTATCATTGGACAATCGATTAAGCAATGCTGTTATTTGAAAACGGGTGCTAGGTAAGAATGGCAGATCAATAGATGAAATATTGAAACTTCATCAGTTGAGGTGGTGTGGCAACTTGAACTGATATGCCTATGTACGTACGAAGTTCTACGTTGTAGCTAACTTACTATCATTTTAAATACGTCCTTCAACTTGACCCCATGCACGTTACTTGAAGTCGTTGTATTTTTTGACAGTCTGGAATGTTGGGATGTAATTGTTTGTTATTTTGTACTGGCTTCACGGCAATAAACTTGAATAGTTAGTCGTGTAGAATGGAAACGACGTCAAATTCATGACAATCGTTGTGATATTATTTATTGGGAAAATATATTTTTAATTCCACTTAACTGTAATCAATAATCTCTGGATTTGCCTTTGTTTTCTGTGAATACAAGTTAGCTTACTTATTACAACTAGTTCGTTCAGATAAATGCGTGAAAATCTAAATACCTGAAACGATGGTCATATTTCCACGTTACTTAGACTTGAGTATCGACCGACAAGAGTCTGTTGATTTACTTATGGTGTATTCCACTGAGAAACCCTAATATTTTATAGTAACAGTTAATATTAACAAAAAGTTTCATAACCACCTAGTTTTATGATGTAAATGTTTTAGGGGTCGGGTCATTTTTACATCAGTAGCGGAGAAAATAGTCTTCAGTTGGATCATGCAGAATAGAAAAGTTTAAATTTCTAAGTTTCCACATCATGAACAGGATCAGGCATTGAGATCCGGGTGAAATAAAATGTCTCCTTTCTGAGAAATCCACTGGGTAAACTCCATTTACTCAGCACAGTTTAGCCCAGTGGTGGTCACAGCTTCTCATAATAACTCCGGAAATTTTCTCTCGAAGTCAGGCATTAGTAAGCACATGAGGAACAACAGATTGAGATTTTAGATAAGATAACAATGCAGCAGTTTATAATTTTTTGTGTAAAAATGGATGCAGGACTTTTAGTTGTGACTTGAAAACAAAGGTGCGTAATCATCAGAAGAGCTACTTATAAGGAATTTAACTATAAAACTACAATGATTTTTCTGATTGCTAAGATTTCAGCTAGTTCTCATTCCCTTAAGAATCAGTTGAGGTCATTATTGCACTTTGGTAATGATTTCAAATTAATACGAAAATGTTGGACCATTTTCCTGAGTTTTCAATGGCTCTAGTCGATTTCAGTCTATGGTGGTCAATCGATTTTTGGTTCAGTGACTCGGTGAGAGTATTCAAGATGTATCAAGTCTTTTAAACATAACAGATGAAATGTCTCGCAAATTTCCTGAAGTTCACCATATCAAATTTCTTTATAATTAACAGAGTTACTGAGCTGAATCAGTGAAGAATACTAATCTCTGTAAAACTACATGATATAAATCTAAAACTATTTAAAGGATTTAAATTCAGATCATGTATTTTTAAAGCTATTCCTGGTATAAGAACCCATCTACTGGGTCTCTTTCATATTCTCGAAGAAGTAGCAAGGAATTTCGCAGTGAAATTAAATAAGTTTGTTAATTAAGTATATTTAGTTTTTAACTGGCCTGCTCGACAAGCTTATCGAGCATGATCTCAGATATGTACTAACTATTTGCGCTACTTACATTCTGTGAGTAGTATATCTGTTTTGTACACCGATTTCATGCCATGACAGTATTCATCTAATTCGTGCAATAAAAGCCTATTATTTCGTCACCGGTCACTTACTAAACATTTTTCGTCTTAGTTTATTTAGAGTAACATGGGCATTTTTCACAATTGTCAACATGCTACTTACTGGTAGTGACTTTCTCTGTAATTGAATCACAAAAGTGCAGTGTTTATTTCCTTAAAAAACCAATGCAAAGAAAAGTGTATATGTGGATCGAGCTACTTATAAGTAGTATATGACGTAAGTGTCAACGTAATGTCTGGCAGCAGAAGATGGGGGAAGATCAAGAAAGGAAGAGTTAGAACACAATGGAATTTGTATGAAACGCATGAATAGTGACAATGAATTTATGTTTTGCAACAGGAACAGTCCAGTTCGATATGATAAACTGATATTTTGCAAATTAACGATTTACGATATGGTTTTCCGGTTTTACTGAGTAACTCTGTAATTTTCTTTAAATACAATTCGGTTGCCCCACCTGTTCACTACATATATTTTGCACTCACATAAGGATCACATATTTGCTAATACTACTGAGCATAAAAGTGAACGAGAAACAACAGTTCGTGGTGTAAGTTGATTATTATTTTATTAGTTACACTACTTAACTGGTTGACAGTAGTATATACAAATTATTTCCAGGATCATGAAGCACATGAAATAAATCAAAATTTCCTACTATTTACTGGTACAAAAGCTTATTTCTAGTTAACTAAGTGGATTTCTAAGATTCTGCTATCGGATGTCATATTTGCATGACTTTTTTCAACAATCTTTACTTAACTTAGACTTCGGCAGCTAGTTCTTATGGATTTTTCAACATCATCAGTTAACAGCCTTTTGTAGACAAGACCAATTGTTATAGG